CCCTCTCGCCAGCATGGCATACTGATGTATGCAAAAAATCTTAGATTATTTTTGCTATCCAATGTTTGATTATGAAAATATGAAAGTTGAAAATAAACATTTGAGCGATAAATGGGTCGGCGCACTGGCCAAATGGACCAAATAGATCGGCCACTACACAGATTGGCGCGGATATGTACAGACACGGAGTAAACTGACAATCCACGGATAAAAAGTGAATAGAATGACATTAAAATTATAAGAAACAAACGACATAGAAACTCTCTTTTAATAGCAGAGATTTTGATCATGCGGTCTTTCAGACAGACTCCTTTGTCGCGTCGGCTTCGCGCCGGCGCGCGAGAGGAGTGCACTCAAAACGAACAGCGTACGTTCCGATTCTTGCTCTTGCTTGCGGTTAAGGTAGGGAGAGATCGGGGGAGAGCGCAGTATCTCTCCTTTTTCCACTCAACGCCGCCCCTCGTGTTCGTCTAACAAACTCCCCGCATTTGCTCCGCCGCCCAGCCCCTCCCTCCCCTCCTCCAGTCCTGCCTCTCCCACTCCCTGTGCTCGCGCCCTTCCCCTCCCTCGCCGGATCAATCTCTTGTCCGGCAGACTGGACGGCGGGGTGCCGCCCCCCAAATCTGCTCTGTTTCCAGGGGTTTGTGGAGGTTTTGCAACTCCTTGCCCCGTTTCTCCCTTTCGCCTTCTTGGTGCTATTTGTTCCTTTTTCTCCGATTCGATCTTCTACTTCTCTGCGCAGGTTGTGGAAGAAGCGGGGATGGGGCCCTCGGGGCTCAATCCGCAGGCGAATCCTGGCATGAGCCAAGATAATTGGACCCCGTGCGTGTGGCCGGAGAGCGGCGCTCCAAGCCTTCCTGGCAACACACCCTTGTTCCTGCAGGGCGATGCGGCGGCCACCATAGGCTGCCAAAATCTTGCTGGACCCGGGATCAGCCATGCCACAGCGATGGTGAATGCTATGCGCGGGGGTGCCACTCTGATGAGTGGCGCTGCCCAACAAGATGCCGGGTCCTCCGTCCGGCCGCCCTGTAACCTGCCTGCAGGGTGCACGCAGGTGCCGATAAGTATCGTGGTGTTCCATAGGAGGGCATCCAGGCCCGCGCCGCCGCCACCTCATACGCCCACTCCAGTTCCTGCTCCGCTCGGTGTAGCACGAGGTGAGCGTTTCCTCTTCATGGCAGCATGACATCTTCCGAGGTTGTATGTTGGCTTCCTCGAAGCTTTGGGACTTGACTGAAATTTTCTTCTTTCTGTATCTTCTCCACAGATTCTGAAGATGATACTTCTATTCAGTTTGCTCGAAGAGATTTCCTATCACTTGGAAGGGAGTCAGATGTTGCTGCCACTGATATGGCCATAGATCCTTCAACACTAGCAGTTCCAGTTAATCGCAGTTCTGAACATCCACCAATACAGCTTCAGCCAAATGGTGTAGATGCAGAAGCACCCACAACCGGAATTCAAGCAGATGATAGTCAACAATCGTCATCATCATCACCAGGTATCTCTGATAGCCACTGTAATTTACAATCGGCTATTCCTGCAAATACTGATGAATTGGCCTCACTGCTTGCTGAAGGTGTAACTGATCAGAACATGCAAACGTATCAGCAGACACCAGAAAAGCTCAAGACACAAAGTCAGCTGAATGATCACACAGTTTTGTCAGCAGCAGCTGCATTCAAGGAAATTGAGGAGGCCCCTGCAAGAAAAGCGAAGCCTCGGAGGAAGAAACATAGAGCGAAGGTAATCCGTGAAGACAAGAAGATCAAGAAGCAAAAGTCTGCTGTTGCAACGTCAGAAGAAAAATCTAATCAGAAACTTCGCAAGCAAATCAAGAAGCAAAAGCCTGCTGTTACAACGCCAGAAGAAGAATCTAATCAGAAACTTAACAAGCAAATCAAGAAGCAAAAGCCTGCTGTTGCAACGCCAGAAGAAGGAACTAATCAGAAAGCCAAGAGAAGTTATGTCCGGAAGAAAAGAAATCTCAGCTCTCTGGAGACTTGCTCGGGACCTGTTAGCGACCAATCAGTCTCCAGGGGAGCAGAAGACGCTGTTAGAAGCAGAGCTGTATCAGTCCGAAGAAGGTTGCAGTTGGAATTTGGTGAACAAGGAGCACTGGGAGACCAATCATCAGCTGGCAACTCATGTCTCCACATTGAGGAGAAACTCATTCATGCTAAAAGTTCTTTCTGTTCAACTGCCACTGTATCAACTGCGCAGGGTGCACATGGACTACATGTGGACATGGAAACTTCACCAGGAGGATTAGCTTTTGGCATGAGTCGCAAGATGAACAAACTGTTAGATGAGTACATACATTTGCCAGAGATGGGAACAAAGTGTACACAAGAAGTTCCGCCTGCAACTTCTGGATGTTTTAGCAGGGAGCCAACAACAAAACAAGACAGTGTACGAAGCACTCATGGTCTTGATGCCACAAGGATTGGGGTTACCATAATGGAAGGGTATAACAAGGGCTTGGAGGCAAACGACTCTAGCAAGGCTGGTTTTGCTATGCATTGCTCAGCTACATTTATACCTGAAACAGCATCCACAGAAAGTCAGACTAAGGTGTCGAGAGTGGAGAAAAGGAAACATCAACAGCGCAGAGAGAGTGAGTCCTCCCTAGCTGGCTCACGGGACTCGATCATCTTAAGTACTGCTGCTCAGATGCTAGCATTTTGTCAAGCTGGTGGGATAAAAAAGAAGCGAACGGTCCGAGTCCGCAGGAGTTCGTATGTTCCTATAATGAATATTGAGATGAATAGGGCACAAGTACTGCCACGGTTATCTCAGTCATGCCTGGAGGCCCTGTATGAAAGTCCTGGTTTTAATTTTTTTACCAAGAAACGTTCACGAAGGGTACGACGCCATTACCGAAGATCAGATGGATTTTTTCAGCCTCCAGAAAACAGAAAATTCTACCATGATGTTTATTCTGAAGCAACAGAAAAAAGCTCACAAAACTCACAATATAAGTCAACTCCATATATGGATTTCCTTCAAAGAGTTGCATCAGGGCTGAAATATCTTGATTTGAACACCGAGCCTGTGCATACAAATGAGATGTATCCATCTCTGACTACATCAGCTGTTGTCCCTTTTGGAGCAACAGGCAGCCTATCAAATTCTCTTGTACCATTTGGTAGTCAGATGATCTTTCCATATGAGATGCCATTGCATTTAGTCAAGAAGCAGCGCCCTCGAGCTAAAGTTGAATTGGATTTTGAGACAACAAGAGTTTGGAACCTCTTGATGGGGAAAGCAACTGATGTGCCTGTTGATGGGAATGATGTTGACAAAGAGAAATGGTGGCAACAAGAAAGAGAGGTTTTTCAGGGCCGTGCTAATTCATTTGTAGCACGCATGCGACTAATTCAAGGTACTTTGTTGGAGGCGTAAATTCATTAAGATTTCAAATCAATTTTAACATTCATGATATGCTGAATTCAGTTTTTCTTGAACATTCTTGTTACTCCTTTTTACCGCCTGGCACCTATCTCAAGGGTTTGCCAATGAAAGAGTTGGTCGATATAGTTACTGAAACATCCACATTAACTATTATCGGACATCCTAGTTTGAAAAACCTTTAATGCTGAAGTAACCCCTCTGCTCAGTGTGGTGGCTGGTGTTGCTATAAAAATCTTTTGAGATCATCTGTAGCAAGCGATCAGTAGTTCTCTACCGCAGCAACTTATAATAGGTAATGTTCAAAGTTTGCAATTTGAGAAGCTTGCTCTTTGCTTCCAAAAATCTGGATTTGGCTTTCATGAATGGTAAATGTGGAAACATTCATGTTCCATTAACACCGGTGGAAGAATATGATAGTAACCTTTAGGCTCGCCTTTGATCTCTGAATACGATAAATTGCAGTATATATGGAAGATGGGTGTGAAAATGTTAATTGTATTGTTTTAAAATTTTTAATTTCCATGAACCGATGGTTGAAATTTATAGCTTATGTTGACCCGCATGTTTATCAGGCGACAGGCACTTTTCTCCATGGAAAGGATCAGTAGTTGACTCCGTAGTAGGGGTTTTCCTCACTCAGAATGTAGCTGACCATCTTTCGAGGTATGATAGCCATAGTCAATACTCTGATACAATCTGTTCTTTAAAATAAATGAACTACTCTTGTTTACGAACTCTGGTTATGGTTGCTATTTTTTCAGCTCTGCCTATATGGCCCTTGCTGCAAGTTTTCCTCCAGGGCCAGTTAATAGCAATTGTAAGGATGATATTATCAGTCAAAATTATGAAGAAATAATTAGCACGAGTGCAGTAGGAGGGATAAGCACATTTGACCTATTTGACAACGGTGCAAGACCAGATCTACGAGAGAACTTTGAGGAGCTGTCAACAAACAATGAGAACATACATGTAGAAACAAAGAACAATTCTAGTGCTTATGAGTTGACTAAAGGTGAAGATTATTCCTTCTACTCCAAAGAACTGAATGGAGATTTTTGCGACCAGCAAGAGACAGAAATAAACCCCAAAGCATCACAATTTCCAGATTTCTCCATAGAGTTAATAACATCAGAAAGAAGCTCACGAGCAATGCAGTTCCAGAAGGATATGCCATCTTCTCAAAGTGTTGCTGTTTCAGAAACTATTCTTCAATCTCGATTGTCTTCAAGTTCTGGGAAAAATTGTTCACCTAAAGATTCTGTTGGCAGCGGCGGTGGTTCAGTTTCTCAGCAGCTTGGAAGCAATTTTGATGGTCAAAATTCATTAGCAGGAAACGATGCCTCAACCAAGGAACTTGAATGCCAAAGAATCAAAACAACAGCAATAAATGATGATAGTGCAAGTCAGCATGGAATTCCCTCTACTTCGATTATGCATTATCCATTTATCTCAGTTGATCATCAACAACTAGATATGACAAATGAATCATATGTTCTGCCTACATCTTCTAATAGTTCCTCTGGTTCTGCATCATTGCACTTAAAAAATGACAGAACTGAGAAGGAACTTCCTCTCTTGGTGCCATTTGATAATCTTATAGCACAAATGAATTATAGCAAGACTGTTATCTCAACACTAAATGCTCCAAAAACAGGCACGGATCTTCCAGGTTAGCAAGCATCTCTTCCATCATTTTTATTGACATGCAGTTTGTTAGTTGCTTAACAAAATGTTGATGCACATGCAGTCAAGTTGCACTATGACGAGCAGACTAGTTTTGAAGCATCAGATTTCCAGGAGTATGAATCACACTCTGTCACTGGTGGAACGGTAGCAGAAACAGCAAACAGGGTGGATGAATCTACTGTCGGAGGAGCAGATAAAGCAGCAAGTCCAAAGAAAACAAGAACCACAAGAAAAAAAAATACTGAAAACTTCGACTGGGACAAATTTCGAAGACAGGCCTGTGCTGATGGCCACATGAAAGAAAGGAAGTCTGAAAGAAGAGACTCTGTTGATTGGGAAGCAGTACGATGTGCAGATGTACAAAGAATTTCTCAGGCCATCCGGGAACGAGGAATGAATAATGTTTTATCAGAACGAATCCAGGTACAAACTGAACAGTGGGATTTAATAAGTTCTGTTTGCACTGCTTGACTTTGTTTTCAAAATTACATCTGTTCTCTTTCTGGGAAGGCGACAGTAACCTTACGGTTTAATAGTACATAGTAACTAGGAGCCAATGATTTACTAGTTTTGTATGTACTGTTTGATGTTTTGTTGAAATAGCAGGCGCGGGATTAAATTCTTGTGTAGCACTGAGATATCTAATGCCCCCAGGTATGCTCACACTAATTGCTGTTTTCAGGAATTCCTGAATCGCTTGGTTAGAGATCATGGAAGCATTGATCTTGAATGGTTAAGAGATATCCCCCCTGACTCAGCAAAGTAAGATACTCAGTATATCACTTTACCTTCTGCTGGTGACATTTTCTAGTGTTTGAAATGAGAAGTTAAATATAACCTAGTGTGAATGAATGAGATGGATCAAGACGCCCAACAAGTTGGATGTTGCATTTAATACTAAAAACTGAGCACCATGTGCTGAACTGCTAATGTACAAGTTACGTGAATGGAACGAAAAGGTTGTAAAATGTGATGCAGTTGACTAAAGTAGTGAATGATTTGTCTAGTTTTAGGAAAACGAGCCCCATGCAGTATGAGAAATTTTTCTGCTAAAAAACCGATCTCGTGTACTTTTCAGGGACTACTTGCTTAGCATACGTGGACTGGGGCTCAAAAGTGTTGAATGTGTTCGTCTACTGACATTACATCATCTCGCTTTCCCTGTAAGTTGCTATTGGAGTAGTTTTAATTCATCTGCAATCAATTTCATATTTACCCAACAATGCTTTGACCACTTTAGGTTGACACCAATGTTGGCCGCATATGTGTAAGACTGGGATGGGTGCCTATTCAACCCCTTCCAGAATCTCTGCAGCTACATCTCCTCGAGCTGTAAGAGTCCTCCATTGTCTAAACATTTATTTCATCTTGTATCTTCAGTTAATATTTGTTCATGTCGATTTCTTGTCAAAGATATCCTGTCTTGGAGACTATACAGAAGTACCTTTGGCCTCGTCTGTGTAAACTTGATCAAAAAACACTGTGAGTATATTAATATCAGTTTAAATTTACGTACTTGTTTTTTTACTGGTAAATGATATGTTATTCTTTCCATGTAAATTGCAATTTTTGTGAATCATGTACTAATAATAACTGAAGTATTTAACAAATTTAACAATTTTCACAGGTACGAGCTGCATTATCATATGATTACTTTTGGAAAGGTACTCTATTAGGATCTGCAGATGAATTTGTTCTCTTTTGGAACTCGTAGAGAAATACTCCCTGGAAAGGGTAAATAAGTATTTTTTTTCCAATCATCACAGGTGTTCTGTACAAAAAACAAGCCAAATTGCAATGCTTGTCCAATGAGAAGCGAATGCAGGCATTTCGCAAGTGCCTTCGCAAGGTATTATCACAGTTTTTACTGTTTCAGAAATAGTAACCTACATTCAATGAGCAAAAAACGAGAATCTTAAGAAGCAACCAGGAAACTTGAAAAGCATTAGCACTGATTGGACTTGCATAATTGATCCTTGCACCAATTGCCTTCTGTTGGCTTAGATTTGAGTATAACATGCTACTAATCAGATGGTTTTGTTAGTTTCGATACACACATCATATTTCTTATCTTTTGTGCAACCAAAACTTATGTGACACCTATCTTGAATTCTTGGTCTTAACTGGGAGCTCTTACTTTTGTGTACTTATTGATTTGTGAATTTCTTATCCTTCTGAATCTTCTTCTGTTTTCCTGATTCCTTTTAATGAAGTGCACGGCTTGCACTTCCTGCACCTCAGGAGAAAAGTTTGGTGAAGTCGAGCAATCAATTCAGTTTCCAGAGTGGTGGCATGCCAACTCCATACTCAACTGTGCTTCCTCAGCTTGAGGGAAGTACCCAGGGACATGATTTTCGCACTAACAATTCAGAGCCGATTATTGAGGAGCCAGCAAGTCCAGCACGGGAAGAATGTCCAGAAACTCTTGAAAATGATATTGAAGATTACGATCCAGATACTGGTGAAATCCCACTAATTAAGCTTAACTTGCAAGCTTTTGCTCAGAACTTGGAAAACTGCATTAAAGAAAGCAATATGGATCTCGGGTCTGATGATATCGCGAAAGCACTTGTTGCTGTTAGCACTGGATCAGCTTCAATTCCTGTCCCTAAACTAAAGAACGTGCGCAGGCTTCGGACAGAACACTATGTGTAAGCAGTGATCTGATTTTGCTTTGGCTTAAACTTGCATGACTTTACACTTACTATATAGCTACTGTTTTCCAATGTAAATAATATTATTTATCTAGAAAATGCTCAGTTCTTTGATTTCCATCACTGAAGTTAGATTTTCCCTGCAGTTACGAAATTCCAGATTCACACTCCCTTGTGCAGCAGGTTAGATACTGTCACTTTCATTTAAGCTTTTGAAAACATTGTTCCTGACCCAGAAAATGATTTACAGCTAGGACTTGATCAACGGGAAACTGGCGATCCAAGCCCTTACCTATTGACCATATGGATGCAAGGCAAGCTTATTTTATTTGAGAATGCATGACTGCACATGTAATTTGACTGCACTTCTAAGTTGATCTTAAGTGGATATTGTGGCTCAATGCAGATGACATAAATGAAATGACCAAGGCCCCCAAACCATGTTCTGACTCTCCGATGGAAGATGGATTTTGTAATAATGAGAAGTGTCAGTATTGTGTGCTTGAGCGGGAAAACCAATCTAGATATGTCAGAGCCACCATTCTGGTATAGCAATAAATTACCTGGCAATCTTGAATACCGTCTACAGTAGAGATGTTAGTTTATGTGACGTGAGCAAAGCCATCCTAGAAGTGGAAGGCTACATATAAATTTCCTGAATTGTTGAATTGGCATAATAAAATAGAACAACAGAGTTGTTAGTCTATCTCTTGACTCATAATGCATTTTAAATTCAAGGAAAAGTTGAAGGTTAACATGGTGCGTTTAATTTATATCTTTGCTCAAATACATATTTGTGCTGTATCTAGCCTGTGTTTGTTGCATGATAATAATCTATAATCTTTGCTCAAAAGAAGAACATCCGTGTATGTTTTGACCTTCTGGGCCAGTCCAGGTGTACTAAAAATATATTGGTGAGCTACATAATAAGATAATACACACTAACATTTTAAGACATATGAATAACTCATTGCTGGTCGATCAAATGCACTTATGTTCTTTATATTTAACTTTTATTTATTGTATGAGAATAATCTATAGTACTGGCGCTGAAAAAGGGTTGCATAAATTTGAGTTTCTTAATCTATGCAAAGGAATATTATTAGTGAGCTACTAAATACTCAAGGTTTATTAATAATATAATAATTCATTGTTGTCTGCAAAATTGCATGTGCTTCTCCAGTCTACTAATGACGAGCTACTGGAACATTAACAGGTTCCTTGTCGAACAGCTACGAAGGGTAGTTTCCCACTGAACGGCACTTATTTTCAAGTTAATGAGGTATGTCATAGACCCACATATTTCTTTTTCCTCATGAATAGGGTAGAGATAAGCTGCAAGCCATGGGCTCCCCTCTCTACAGAGTTGATTTTCAATGTTTTTGTGAATTTACAGGTATTTGCAGACCACAAATCTAGCTACGATCCGATATACGTTGCAAGGGAGCAGTTATGGAAGTTGGAAAGACGAATGGTCTACTTTGGAACTTCAGTGCCCTCCATATTCAAAGGTTGTGACCAACATACATCACCAATTCAGACAAATTATCTGTAATTACCAACAGCTCTTTTTTTCCTTCTGCAGGTCTAACAACTGAAGAAATACAGCAGTGCTTCTGGAAAGGTAAGAACAATACGTTTCAGTTAGGTTGCCAGTGCATTTTACCATGGGGGAAAATCTTGCTGCCTTTTGTTGTTCATCAATTTGCAAAATGCAGATCACATGATATAACCATTGTTTTACAAGTAAGGATATACATTAATGCTTGAACAGACATGCCCCATGTACCGTATGCTGAGAACTGCTAGATCATCAGTATGAAACACAACACTGAACTAACTAAAGTGGAATTTATCTTTGAAATGCACCAACTGTGGAGTAAAGCAATTTCCAGGCTCAAGTTAAAAATAGCGGAATTCTCTCCAAACAACCAAGGCAGACATGATGCTTCCGTCCATGGCTAGAGTTCCTCCGGCGGCGGCGAGACAGAGGGGGGCAAGGTAGAAGCGGCGGCGGCTAGGGTTTGGGACACCTACCGAGCCGCCCAGGGAGGACACAATGGCGGGGTCCTGTCAAAGTGTTTTCCCCCAGCAGTAACCTGTGTCTACCAATCCAATCTAACTGTTTTTTTCCTACCAATCCATCTTAGTAAAGAAAATCATAGATCTTATTTTCCTAACTAAATGATAAACTTCCTAATGAAGAGATTGTTGGGATCCTCTTCGTACATAACAATATTGTGCACAATTTCAGTAGGATTTTCAGCACCATTTCTGCTTACTTCCAACAAAACTTGCACTCCAAAAACATCTTCCAGCGAAATTACAGCAATAGTTCTGAATAATTCAAGCAGCAATGCGGTACTAGTAGGAACATCATGTAAATACGCGCTACAAACTAGTCCAGCTCCTCTTTTTCTTGCCAAATCATCTATCTAAAAAGAATTAATCTATAAGTTCAAGTAGTATAATAATAGGCGCAGCAACACTTATCCTCTTGGTTGGTTATCAACCTCGGTGACCGAAGAGAACTCTGATAACTGACTGAAACTCCCTCCATTTTGTAGTATAGCTCAAGCTCCTAAAATGTCATATGGTTGTTCACAAGCAACTAACTGTCAATAAGATTCCGGTACATGTACCTTCCGAAGGATATTTACTATTGGCTCCAAAGGATTTCTTTTTGCATTTTCCTTTTTCTTATATGGGCCTCATCTTTTTTGCATTTACAAAGGATTGCTTCTGTTGCTTGTGAACTTATTCGGGTGGAAAAGGATGATTTTTCTCCGTAATCTATCTGGAGTTTCCCTGACAAGAGAGTGTGATGCTGTGATGCAGGATTTGTCTGTGTGCGGGGATTTGAGAGGGAAACCGGGGCACCAAGGCCTCTATGCCAACATCTGCACGTCGCAGCAAGCAAAGTGCCCAGATCACGCAACGCGGCAGCAGCTGGGCGGAACTCGGATTCAGCAAAGGCATCAGCTCCATGAGTATCATCACTGGCTGTCGACCTGTGCATGGGTACGCCAGTGTTGGTTCCTACCGGGCTACAGCCGTTCTTGTAGGAAATAAACCGCTGCGCAAGAGAATTATCATCCAGTTGTTGGTCTGGGTGTAGACGCGTTTGCTGTACTTCTGAGCAATTTGTACCTTGAATTTACTTTCCGACCAGTTTATCCGCTTGCAAAGAGGCCTTTGTTATGTACCGGCATCTTGTTGTATATACACCATGGTTCCTGTGAAAAACTTGTCTTGCCAGACGACCTTACGTATGTACGGGCAACTTATTTTCATGTACCATTATTTCTTCAGTAACTGGCAGTCTTGTGGAGGTATAAAGTGTGTCATATAATAATCCCATACTCCGGTGGCAGCGTGGCGATCCCTGAAGCCGCATTGTACAAATATGTTTGCCAAGTTCTCTAAGGTGAGAAAGATCAACATCGAGATTCTTCATACTAGTGAAAAATTGCCAAAGTTGTGTATGGTGAGAAAGATGGATTTCGAGATTATTCTTACTAGCAAGGCCATATCAACAATTAATGACAACTGATCATGCACGGTCATTCTTGGATTGGGAGGCTGTAGAAGGAAGCCAGCTGAATGCCTGAAGACAAATAAGTTTGCCAAGTTATCTGAGTTTAGAAAGATGAATTTCGAGATTAGTCTCGCCAGCAAAGCCACGTCAATAATGGCAAATAATCAACGCCCGTCATGCATGGTGGCGGTTGTTGGATTGGAACGCTGAAGAAGCAAGGCAACTGGATGCCTGAATGGACAAATATGTTTGCCAAGTTGTCTGAGTTGAGAAGGATCAGTTCCGAGAGAAGTCTCACTGGCCAAGCCATGGCAAATAATCAAGATTCGTCATGCAGGGTCATTCTTGGGTTAGGAGGTGGAGACGGGAGAAGGAAAGGCAATTGAAACAAGGGAGGCGAAGTTGGAGAGCAGAAGCTTGATAAAACAGTGTCCCGCATAATCGGCGGGCGGTTGCGAACCCTCTTTGAAATCCTCATGGAGGCCTATGGGCGGGCGGTTGCTTATACTACTACTTAAAATCCTCTCCTCCTCCATGGAGAGGTCTATATACATGAGTGTGCAGTTACTTACTACTCCTACTTAAAATCCTCCTCCATGAAGGTCCATATACATGAGTGGGAAGTCTACACATTTTTGTTTTTTGATTGAGTGAGAATGGAGGTCTACACATGAGTGGGTGGTTACTTACTATTTCAAATCCTCCATGGAGGTCTATGGGCCGGCACGATTAAACAGCCTCGCGCAAGTATGCATGCCTGTTCGCGGTGCAGCTGCAGCGTTTTCTTTTCTCTCTCTCTTTTTTGCAAAGAGAAAATGCTCCATTCTTGTGGCTTCCTGTATATATAGGAGATGGTACACCGTGACTTGATCAACAAACTTGCACCGTGTGGCCAGAACAACTGAGCCAGAGAGAGAGAGGTGCGTCCACCATGGCTCTCCATCGCCTCACCAAGCTGATGGTGTGCTTGCTGGCAACCACGGCACTGTTGTTTGCCGGCGGCGCGGCAGGCAAGGCTGGACCACCAGCTGGCCATCAGGCTGGCGGCCACGGCACCGGAGCCCTGCCACCGCTACCTCCCGCGGCAGCTCCTCTGCGGGGGGCCCGTGGCGCCGTCGCTCTCGTCCTGCCAGAAGCCCAAGACCAAGAGAGCCAGGGCGCCGGAGCACGCCCGCCGCTACCTCCAGCCGGAGCTCCTCTGCCGCGCGCCCGCGGCACCGGAGCCCTGCCACCGCTACCTCCCGCTGCAGCTCCTCTGCGGCGCGCCCGTGGCGCCGTCGCCCTGCCCCAAGTCCAAGGCCAAGAAAGCCACGGCACCGGAGCAGGCCCACTGCTACCTCCGGCCGCAATCCCTCTGCCTCACGCCGGCGTGGAGACGATCACGACGCTGCAGTCCGACCCGTCGCCGGCGATGAAGATCACTTACGAAGTCACCAAGACAAAGTACATGAAGTTCCAGCAAAGCCTTTACCGGATGCTGACGTCCAGCGGGAGGGAGGTGGAAAACGTTCCCGAGCTGGCTCCCCAGACGGACCCCAAGAAGCAGCCGCCGATGTGGATCCTGATCACCATCGAAGTCGAGAAGCCGCAGGAGCGGTAGTTCTCGCCGTGCGGACCGACAATGTCTACATTGTCGGTTTCAAGAACGCGGCGGAAGTCTGGTTCGCCTTCTCCGATGACAAAGACCTAATCAAAGGTTCGACGCCGCTCCCCAAGTCGCATGACTACCGCAGCCTCGTCGGTGGCCGCAAGAAGCTAAAGGACCTCGACGTCGACCAGGACGCCGTCGCGCAAGACGTTCGCTTCCTGTCGACGTACAGGCTCCTTTCCCGGCCGGACACGGCCCACAACGCCATGCTCGGTACGAGCCTGGGGAGGCTGTCCCTTGTGGTCGCCGAGGCGGCAAGGTTGAAGACGATCAAAGCCACGGTGGTGGCGGCGATGGATGAGAAAGGCCCGAGCCGGATCACCCTACAGCAGACGAAACTCATCGTCGTTTGGGGAGTGACGTCCAAGGCACTGCTTGATTAGAAAAAGAATGGAGTATGGAACCCGGAAGATAGCGAGGACGTAAAAGAAGCGGGCATCCACGGCGCACAAGATGCCGTTAGCGCGCTCAAGGTTATTCTTGTGCCCATTGGGTACAAACGGGAGGCTGAGGAAGATTAAGCAGCTTGAGAAGGTTGAGAAGGCTGAGAAAAAGAAGGTGAATGCCGAGCTAGAAAAGAAGAGCCCCAAACACAGAGAATTATTGGGCTTAATTATTATGTACTCACCTAGTACTAGTATAATGTATGTGCATGCATGCACCCATAAATAAACAAAGGCAAGTGTTAGTTGGCCAATGTGAAAAAACTTGGTTGTTTGTGATGCCTCTTTATGCTTGAGCACTGTGAAATTTCATAATACTAGCTACTACTACATATTACCGAAAAATGTTTTCACCCCGTTTTACATATAAAACAACGATCATCAATTATCCGATACAAACACACGCCATCACAACACACGCACACACTAAGAGGATATATAGGCGCTGAGCACAACAACATTACCCCTAGCACAACCACGGCGAAGAGATGAAGCCCCATACGACGAACAAAATTTGTTCCAAGGTCATAGTGTAATTGACAAAAAAACATCTACATGTGCCTTTTGCAGTTCTCTGAATGAATGGTTCTCTTTGTGCCTTATGTCATTGCATACCCCCAGAAAACTTCTCCTATAAGTCAAGCCAACCGAGATATAACGAATGCAGAATTGAACATTCTAACCCTTATTCACTTGAGGTTGATTATGTAAAATCATGTACAGAACTGTACATATGTTGCATTTTTCGAACATCGTATCTACAACATATCACTTTTGTAGCATTGCTGGACTACATGATAGTAGTTTAGCATCTCTCCTAGTACTGCAACTAATGATAGTAAAAGTTTCAAATTTACAGGATAGCAGCTACCAATAATCTTGCATTTATCGTGAAGCAAACGAACTCATTTATAGAGGCACAAAAACAGTAACCTCGTGTAGCCCCGGGACTCTGGAGTGGACATCGTTGGAGGTGTGCTCTGCCAGCTCCGCGTACCAAGTCTTCTTCGCTGGCTTGGAGCGATTTCCGTGCGGTAAGGCGCTTTGGAAGCCTTGCGCTCCGATGAAAGTTGCACTTCTGGCTAGCAATGCGGCGACAGATCTGGACTGTTGATTGACGTTTGAGGCAGGCTTGCAGTCGCATGTCACCTGTCCATTATGTGACCAGGACGATGAGACGACTGATCATCTTACATTGGGATGTGTGTTCGCCAGAGGTGTGTGGCACTATGTCCTTTCTCGCTATGGTCTCGATCAACACATGCCTGAAGCTGATGCTGCCCTCGTGGAGTGGTGGCTGACTACTCGCGCGATCGTCCGAAGGCGAAGAGGAAGGGATTTGCCTCCATAGCTCTTATCACCGCGTGGATGCTCTAGAAGGAGCATAATGGCCGTGTCTTTCAACGATCCGTGGTCATTGTTCATGAGCTTTGCAGGCGGATAGGTGGCGAGATTGAGCTTTGGAAGCTCTCCGGTGGAAAAGGGTTGTTGACATTTGGAGAGATAGGATCTATCAGTGTGTAGGGAGTTGTGTGTTCGACCGACATGTTTGGGTTGCTCACCTATTTGCTACCATGGAAGCTCTGTAACCGCGGCAAGGTGCCGGAACCTCTGTTTTTTCTGTTCCCCTCTTCTAATACATCGACGCGCAAAGGTTTTGCGTTCGCAAAAAAGATATATCTCTGGAGTCTTTGTGAATATATCCTTCTCTTTGTGATTTTCTCGTTCTCTTTCCTTCAGTCATGGGTTTGTTTTTCATTCCTTTGCGCGTTCGCAAAAAGGAAGAGATATATCTCCGAAGTCTTTGTGAATATATCCTTCTCTTTGTGATTTTATCGTTCTCTTTCCTTCAGTCATGCATGGGTTTGTTTTTCATTCTCTTTATTTGGTCCTTATCTTTTTCTCATTCTCTTTGCTGAAGCATTTTGCATTTGCTTCATCTTGTCACATACTGCATTCTCTTCTTGTGTTCTTGTCTCTCTTCTTTTCTCATTCTCAGTAGTTCTGCATGTCATATTTGTTGGGGAACACAGTAATTTCAAAAAGATTCCTACGAACACGCAAGATCTATCTAAGACAAGCATAGAAACGAGCGGGGAGAGTGTGTCCATGTACCCTCGTAGACCAAAGCAGAAGCGTTAAGTAACACGGTTGATGTAGTTGAACGTCTTCGCGATCCAACCGATCAAGTACCGAACGCACGACACCTCCGCGATCTGCACACGTACAGCTCGGTGACGTCCCTCGAACTCTTGATCCAGCTGAGGCCGAGGGAGAGTTTTGTCAGCACAACGGCGTGGTGACAGTGATGATGAAGTTACCGGCACAGGGCTTCGCCTAAGCACTACAACGATATGACCG